AGTTCTTTCATTTTAAGGAAAATCATGCTTTTCTGTGGGCACTCTCCATGCTGTGCCCTCTCGATTGTGTTTAGTCAGGAACCAAAATAGTAGTTTCCCCTTACCCCACCTCTGCCATGAGAGAAATCTCATCAGAAGTGTCAGTCTTTGGACTGGGGAGGTGGTTCAGTTAGTGAAGTGTCAACTGTATGCAGGAAGACCCAAGTTCAGATTCTCAGCACTTAGAAGAAAAAGCCAGGCTTAGATAGGTACACATTTCTGCAACCCTGGGAATCACTGGCCAGCCAGCCTAGCTAATTAGTGAACTCCAGGTTCTGTGAGAGACTCTGTCTCAAAAGAATAGGGTGGACAGCAATTGAAGAAGACAGCTGACATGGACCTTTGGCCTACAGGGGGTGGGAAGAATGGGGGGAGAGGGAGAGAAGAAAAGAGAAACATATTCTAAACATAGATCATTTTGTGGTTTGTAAAAACTTTCCAGACTAACAAACTCTTGACCTCACAATCCTCAGCCTCCTCATTAGCTGGCATGATGGGTGGATGCCAGCACTCATAGCTAAAACCTTGCATTTTAAGGATTTGTCAGTGCATATGAGATGGGTAGATGCTGACATAGTCATGGTTGACAAGGAATGTTATATCCAATGCCCCACAGAATTCAGCTTAAAAGGGCACAATGAAATCACGTGTTAGGACTGAAAAAACAAGCAAGGAAGGGGTTATAGTGTGGCACCTGTTTTGTACCGGGGTTGGGGAAAGCATAGACAGGTCAGAAGCACTTATGTTGTTGTTGTTTGTTTGTTTTTGTTTTTTTCGAGACAGTGTTTCTCTGTATTGTTTTGGAGCCTGTCCTAGAACTCACTCGTTAGACCAGGCTGGTCTCTAACTCACAGAGATCCACCTGCCTCTGCCTCCCGAGTGCTGGGATTAAAGGCGTGCGCCACCAATGCCCGGTTGTTGTTGGTTTTTAAGATCTATTTATTTTTTATTTATGTGTGTGTGTGTGTGTTTATATGTGTGTGTGAGAGAGAGAGAGACCAACCACATGAGTGCCCAATACCCAAAGAGGCCAGAAGAAGGCATCAGATTCCCCCCAGGAGCTGGTGTTGTGGGCAGTAATGAGCTGGGGTCCTCTGGAAGAGCAGCCAGTGCTCTTAACAACTGAGTCAACTCTTCAGCCCACTTTTTTTCTGTGTTTTTTTTGTTGTTGTTGTTGTTGTTGTTTTGTTTTTTTGTGGGTTTTTTTTTTGGTGGTGGTATTATTAATGCTTTTAGTTTTAGTCTTTTTTTTTATTTGGCTCTGAGATCGATTCTCAGGCTGGTCTTGAGTTCAAGGTCTTGCTGCCTTAGTATCCAGAGTTGTAGAGTTTTTAGTCATGTTCCTTTTCAGTCAGCAAGAGGTGGAGAGGCTGAGGGAGCACCTCATTTGGAGTTAGAGATCTGGGTCATGGTGTCCTCTTGGTTGGTTTATGGCCATTTGGCCTTAGGACATTTGGTTAACCTTCCTGGACCTTTCTCTCATTGACATATTGAAGAGATTAGAGTATTTTAGTGTCCCCCAATCTTCCAAGTCACAAATCTCTTTTAGTAAGACACTTTTGAACTCCTCAAGCATTTTGAAATAATTCTGTCATTGCATGACATATGATAAAAATGTTAACTTTAATTTTTTAAATTTTATAAATTTTATTTAAGAGACAATATTATTTTACATATCAGTCCCAGTTCCCTCTCCCTCCCATCCTCCTGTGCCACCCCCACTGACACCCCATCCCATTCCCATGCTCTCCCCAGGGAGGGTGAGGCCTTCCATGAGGGATCATCAAAATCTGTCAAGTCATTTGGGTCAGGGAGTAGGCCCTCCCCTGTGTATCTAGGCTAAGAGAGTATCCCTCCATGGGAAATGGGCTCCAGAAGTTCGTTTGTGCACTAGGGATAAATACTGGTTCTACTACCAGAGGCTCCATAGACTTCCCAGTGCTACTAGCTGACACCCATGTTCAGGGAGCCTGGTTTTGGACCTATGTTGATTCCCCAGCTGTCAGACTCGGGTCCATGAGTTCCCACTTGCTCAGGTCAGCTGTTTCTGTGGGTTTTCCCAGCATGGTCTTAAAGCACTTAATCTGGACTGACTGGTATATTAACATAGTCTTTGATATTTATGCTATACAAAAACTATCTACAGTTTATGACTTAAGAGTTGTAGTTTAACTTTAAGTTGGATGTATAAAAAGAGAGTATGAGAATTCAAAAGTAAAAGATTAAACTTTGTTTCAGGAGTTTTAAATGTTTTCAACATTTAAAAAACAGTCTAAACTCTACTACTTTCCTCCTACCCCCTTTCTGGCTATAGAACTCTCAAGCATACTAGGCGAACACTCCTCCATCTTCCACTGAACTATATTCCTAGCTCCTAATCAACATCAAATGCCCAAGTTATGGAATTTCTATATTTGGGGATTAAAGGAATATAGAAATTATATAGTTTTTTTTATTTTTAAATTTAAATTAGAAACCAGGTTGCTTCACATGTCAATTCCAGGTCCCTCTCCATTTCCCTCCCCTCCTCCTGTGCCCTCCCACCAACCCTCCCAATATCCCATCCCCTCATTTCCCCAGGGAGGGTGAGGCAAACCCTGATATTAACCCACACATGTATGAACATCTGATCTTTGACAAAGAAGCTAAAACTATACAATGGAAAAAAAGAAAAAAAAGGAATATAGAAATTTATTCCCATAATTTTATATTTTTGCTTTGTGATAAAATTTAGTCTGGATCATAATTAATCATAATTACTATTTTTTAATCTTTATAACATTAATTTCCAGTGCTTGGGAGGCAGACAGGTGGATCTTTGTGAGTTCAAGGCCCGCCTGATCTATGTAGAGAGTTCTAGGCCAGCCAGAACAATATAGTGATCTCCAAATAAAAGAAAGCAAGCATTAATTTTTGGTGTCTAAAACTCACATTGATGCATTTTATATAATCTTACTGATGTGTATGTGTGTATGTGTGTTTATGTGTGTGTGTGTGAATGTTTGTGTATGTGTCTGTGTGTTTCTAAGAATTGAACTAGGGCCTGCCTGCACACGTTAGGTCACTCTACTACTAAAGTACATTCCCATTTCTAATATTATCATTTTAAAATTATAGATTACTTTATTCATGAGAATTTCACACATATGTACAATGAGATATAATTATATCCACTCTCCTTTTCCCTCCTCCAAATTTTCCAATGTGTCCTACTCCCAACTTCATGTCTTTTTTTTCTGATAACCCACTAAATCCAGTAAGTGCACGGAGCCACTGGAGCATGGGAAGCCTACCAATGAGAACACATTCACAAAAGAAAGACTCTCCCAGCCCCAGGAGCTATCAGTTGCCAGTGGCTCCATATTAAGGGAGATGTCTGAGTGAGTAAGGATGAGAAATTCAACTTTATATGCCCAAGGAGCATATTTGGGTGCATTAGTAAAATTACAGTCCTATAATTACCTGAGCTTCCCAACTTTAAACAGCAGCCCGTTACATATATGAATTAAGCAACGTATCATTGTAGCTGAAAACAATGTGAAATTGTATAATAGTAAAGACTACCCACTGATAACAGGCTTTGTCTAAATGAACTGTGAGCTCACTTGATGGGTTTTACTCACTTTGCACATGTTGGAAGAAGGCTATATACTGTTTTTAAAGTAGGGAATTATAATGAACAGGTTTTAGGAAATGGTAATGATGCCTATTTAAATTTCACTTATACAAAATTAGTAGGGCAGTGAGATGGTTCCTCAGGTACAAGTGCTTGCCACAGAAGTCTTGCTGACTTGAGTGTTGGATCCCTAGAACTGGAGTTTACAGGCAGTTGTGAGCCACCCAGATGAGTGCTGGGAACCAAACTGTGATCCTCTGAAAGAGCAGCAAATGCTCACAAGCACTGAACCATCCAATACAGAGTCACACTTGCAGAGACTCGCTGTTCCAGCCTCGGCAACAGAGGAAGCTCCCAGACATAGCTCAGTGAATAGCCAGTCAAAAGCTTCTCATCAGTGGTTAATCCATGCTGGTTAGTAAGGTGGTTCATGTCCCAATTCTTGAAGCAGGTCATACTTAAGGGTAAGGATGCCGATGGCGCTTCCTAGGGGAATTGTGTTCTACCTTTATTGTCAATTAGTAATCTCTTTGATGAGCAATCTTGACACTTCTTTCAATACTTTCAAGTGCTTCCTGATTTAGTGTTTTATAATTTAAAATTTTTTCATTTTATTTTAAATTGTATATTCTCTATATCTGTGTGGTGTTATGTATGCTTGAGTCTAGAAGATGGTGTCAAATCCCTGGAGCTGGAGTTACAGGTGGTGGTGAGCTAGTCCCATGGGGTGTGGGGGGGCTGGGAAATAAGCTAGGGAGATGAATCATTGGTAAAGCAGTGTGCTGCAAGCATGAGGACCTGAGTTCAGATCCCAGGCACCTACAAAAAAAGACAAGCGAGGGTCTGTAACTGCCATACTGGTGGGGAGTAAGAGAAGACATACAGATCCCTGGAACTAATCACCACCGTCCTATCCAAAGTGATGAGCTCCAGATTCAATGGTAGAGCAGAGCTGAAGAAGACAGCTAACATTACCTCTAGCTTCTGCAGGATCCCGAACACACACATTGACACTCACATGTAATACACCACACACACACACACACACACACACACACAGAGAGAGAGAGAGAGAGAGAGAGAGAGAGAACGTAAAAACCTTACAATATGCATATAAAATGTATAGGCTATATATTTATGATGCCTTACTTATGGGCCTGAAAACCTGAGTTGTCATCTTGACGGAACCAGAGAGGAGAGGATAGATTAGTTTTCTTGTTGGGGTACATGGGCTTTGAGTCCTTAGAAGTGATTCCCATAGGTAACTAACTCTACTTTCCCAATGGAGGATAAGGAGATGTTGTCTTTCCTAAAGTTCTACTGTGTTCTTCTTACTGTTTTTCAGGGTTTTGTCAAGCAGGAAAGGATTTGCGTTTGGTATCACTGTGTATGGAACAAATTGACATCCCAGCAGGATTCCTCCTGGTAGGGGCCAAGTCTCCCAATCTCCCCGAACATATCCTAGTTTGTGCTGTGGACAAGCGATTTCTACCAGACGACCATGGGAAAAATGCACTTTTAGGTGAGTGTTTAACGTCTATAAAACTTCGTCCAGAAGGAGGGAATTGAAATACATGTTTATTGAAAATTACCAGAAAATGTTGTATGTATGTCACTGAATTTAGTTAGAGTTTGAATGGTTTAGTTTCAAACAGCAAATAATCTTCTCTCATTAACTTAAATATATTTTACATTTTTATTATTAATGTAATAGTTTAGGCATGCAAAACTTTTTGAGACAATTAGAAAGCATGCAATTTATCAAAATTTAGTATTTTAGGACTAAAAGTAGAGTATTTATTTAGCACATGAAATGATCTCAATTTCATCCTTAGCCATGTAAAATGTTTTTTGAATTTTTTTCAATAAAGTGAAGTTTATTCTGCATAGTCACTGATCTTAACCTGATGTCAATTCTCAGTTGTTTGCGAATTATTCACTTTGTAAAGTATTTGCAAATTTTCAATACTACCTAATGCCTTATAGATATGATTAGTTTGCATGTAAAATGTCTCCAAAGGAGGGAGACTAGAGAGGGGTTTAATATTCATCATGCACATTATACATATGAAATTGTCAAGGAACCCAGTAAAAGTTATATTAAAATGTCACCGCCAGGCTCTTGTGTTTGACCACTGGTTCCTACCTGGTAGTGCTGTCCTGAAGGTGTGTAACCTTCAGGAGGTGGAGCCTGGCTAGAGGTTGCTACAATGTAACCAGTTGCCTCACTGATCTCCAGTTAGGAGCTGATCCAGCCTACCCCTTCCTGTCATGATGAGTCGCACCTCTTGAACCATAGCCAGAATAAACCATTCCTAGCTTATGCTATTTCTGTCACCAGTCTATCACGGTAACAAGAAAGGTAACTAACAGATACTTCTCATGTTATCAATTCTCCTAAAATAACTAAGGATACATAAATGCTACGAAACATATAACAATATCTCAGGATTATTTTACTTTCTGGGATGGCTTAGAATCTTGGCTTTTCCACAACATAACTACACTACATCAGGAGAAAAGAGAGTGGGTCTGGTGTTTTGGTTGTTTTTGTTGCTGTCTTGTTTTCAGACAGTGTGCTGGATAGTTTTATGTCAACTTGACTCAAGCTAGAGTCATCTGAAAGGACAGACCCTCAATTGAAAGAAATGCCACCATAAGATCATTGGAAAGAGCATTTTCTTAATCAGGGATTGAGAGGGGGAGGGCCCAGCCCTTTGTAGATGGTGCCTTCCCTTGTATATACAGGAAAGCAGGCTGAGCAAGCCAGGGAGAGCAAGCCAGTGAGCAGCACCCCTCCAGGGCCTCTGCATCAGCCCCTGCCTCCAGGGCCCTGCCCTGCTTGTGATGAACCATGGTGCAGAAATGTAACTTGCTTTTGGTCATGGTGTTTCACTGCAGTAATAGTAACCCTAACTAAGACAGGCAGGATCTCACCATGGAGACTTGCATGTCCTGGAGCTCGATACGGAGAACAGGCTGGTCTCAGACTCATCAAGATCTGCTTTTGCCTCCATAGGCTTGACTAAAGGTGTGCACCACCACACCTATCTGGTTTTTTATTTGTTTTGTAATAAAAAGAAAACTAGGTATATAAGCTTTGTTGTTCTTTTGCTGCTGTGTTTTTTCTAGAGGTTTTGCTTCTCAGAATTCCTTTTATTTAGATGGAACCATATCTTTAAAATACAAATATCAGTAAAAGGAAGAGGACAAAGAATTAGTCTTCTGTATTGATTGTGAGTTTATGTTTTGTTTTAGTTTTGTGCAGAAAGTCTTAAAGAACATCAGTCAATACCTTGAGTCATAAAATGACCCTAAACATGCTAGACAGAGGTCCCTTCTCTCCCCACAGCCTTTATTTCTTTCTTGACAAGATCTTCACCCTGACTGGCCTTAAACTCGTTATGTAGGCCTTGAGTTCACAAGAGATCCACTTGCCTCTGCTTCCCAAGGGCTAGGATTATATGAAGGCTTCTTAAATTATAGTTCAGAGCCATGTATTGGTTAACATCTCTTGGTCATTTTCATGTTCCACAAGTGCCAAAGATACATACTGGGCACAGTTGAGACAAACCACATATGGGCTCCAATTTTTACAAACTCTTGCAAATCTAGGGTCCAGTACCATCTAGATAATATTTTAGAAGGGAGATTCTAAGTGTTCCATATTGGGTCAGACACTTGTCATACACTCACACATTCACAGGCTGTGGGTCTCTGGGGACGAGCTGCTGTGTTGAGGTGTGCAGAAAACCAACAGTAGGACTCCCGGGCTCTTAAAATTTTTTTAAATAATAAATAGCAGGTATTTAACGATTAAATAGTTTTTTAAGTAATGAAAAATTGAACGGTAAAACTTTAAGTTAAAATTTTATTATTCTTTATTCATTATATAAAGAGACAGGTTTTCATAAGGCTGTTTTCGTTAGGTATATGATGTTCTCTGACATTCACCCATTATTCTTTCCTCAGCAGGTTCTTAAGGAACAAACTGAAAAGATTTAAAGACAAAATTTTCTTTCTCTTCATTTTCCCCTCCCTTCCCTCCCTCCTCCTTTTCTCTCTCCCTCTCCTCCCTCCCTCTCTCCCTTTTTCCCTCGCTCCCTCTCTCTCTCCCTCTCCCCTTTCTCCCTCCTTCTTCCCCTGTCCCTCCTTTCTCCCTCTCCCCTCCCTCCCTTCCCCTCCCCTCTCTCCCTCCCTCTCCCCTCCTTTCTTTCCCTTCCCAGTGCTGGAACTCTGGGCTTTGTGCAGCTAGGGGTTCCCTTACTGCGTTATACTTCCCCAGCCCCCAGACAGTCTTCCTGTCTTTCTGTACTATGTAAATTCTGCCACCTGACACTTTTTACTCCATTTTATTAGCCACTGTCCTGTTAACTTAGTCCCAGTCTTCTACTGTTATAAAAATGACTCTGCTGTTGTTATAATTTGACTGTTTATTAACTGCATTGAAGCAATATTAAATTGCCTGATTCTTTTGAACATAAAGTTCCAGTTAACAAGCACTGATTCTTTGCCATTGTATATGAAGAATTTAAAATTAAAGAAGAAAGATGGGGTGAAAGTGGGGATTGGGGCTCTATTAAAACTCTATCCTTGCTTTTTCCCACCCTTCTGAAGTATTTCCTAAAAGTTGGGGCACTGTTGGCTCATAGACTATGAATATTTTTATACTTTTTACATTTAGAAGTAGTGTGTTAGCTTACAAGGACACTAGTAACACTGGCTTTCCCCATTTCAGGGTTCTCTGGAAACTGTATTGGTTGTGGAGAAAGAGGATTTCGATATTTCACGGAATTTTCCAACCACATCAACTTGAAGCTCACCACCCAGCCAAAGAAGCAGAAGCACTTGAAGTACTACCTAGTCAGAACCTCCCAGGGTGTGTTATCAAAGGGGCCGCTCATCTGCTGGAAAGGTAATTGGATTCCAGAGGGGGAGGGGAAGGAGATTCTGGGGTGGTGACTGGTGACCCTTGCAGGGTTCAGAGTACAGGTGTGGGGTAGATAAATAGCTCAAGTTCAAAAGGCTGCTCAAAAATGTGAAGCCCTTTGGGAGGCTGTATGAACTGTCCCTTGTTAGAATTAACTGAAGCATTTGAGCGTTAGGAAAGTGCAAGTCTCTAGATCTGTCAACAGAGAAAGCATGTGGCTCTGGGGCTGGGAAACTTCTGGTAACTTTTCATTTCTGAGTGTAAAATGTGCTCTTTGCTTTATTCCAGTTTGTTAGTAATTCTCAACAACCTACATTTTTCTATTTTATTTTACCAAAAAACACACCCCAAATAAGCCATCCAGCCGTTCTGGGTGTCTAGGGGAGTGAGCGAGTTGGCAGTTTTGTTTCTTTGGAATTAGCAGCAATTTAGCCCTCTACTCTGCAGGAAGTAACATCCTCAGGAACCTAGTGGGAATCACCATGGTTTTAGCCACTGTCCTAAAGCAGTTTCTTCTGACACTGAGAACTTATCTCTATAGAATAATTGTCTTTACCCTTCTTGCTTACATAAGAGTTTTGCTGACTATGGAATAGCATAATACATCTGAATTGCAATAGCACATTTGTCTCTGAGTCCTCCACCATAGTTACTCTTGGCAGCATTTGAGGTGGCATTATATAACACCTCAGGAAATGATGCTGTGTGTCCCAAGCCACTGTCATCAGAGCTTGAAACCACTGAATTCTTAGGAATTTCATTCATAGCTCTTTATCCTGGTTAAGGATAAAGAATTTCCTCCAGAAAGTATTCTTGAATACCGTAAACCCTAATGAGAGACTAAAAAACTTGATAAGTATCATCTCTCTACCTTTTAATTTTTTTACCTTACCTTTTGTTTTGCTTGTGTAAATACACTTAACTTTCTGGTGCTAAGAGAGTTCATCTTTGTAGCATTGATTGATTGATTGATTGATTGATTGATTGATTGATTGATTGATTGACTGGTGTGTGTGTGTGTGTGTGGGTAGCACACACACATGTGAAAGTCAGAGATCTATGGGAATCTGTTGTCTCTCTTCACTGTGCAAATTCAGGGACTGAATTTGTGTGTCAGGCTTGGTGGTGATCACCTTTGCCCTCTGAGCCACCTCATGGGTCATTTTTTAAAGTAGCCTATATAAAATTATGTATTATCAATATGCACATATACATATAATATACATAAGGTGAAGTTAAATTTATGCCAAAACACAACCACTTTTCAGAAAGTCATAGCATAGCAGGCTTCAGAAAACTGCTTTCAACCTTTGCAAATTTCTCATTCCCACGGGAACTTTCTTTAGAACTCATAACCTGTCATACCACCATTTCTATTTCACGCGATACCTTTTGAGATTAGTAATAGTATAATTTAGTTAGACCTTGAAGTCCAAGAGACTATCACAGTGTTCACTGAGTCAGTACCCAATGTAATTAGTCATTAACATCAGATACTTAATGCAAACATTGCCACTGCATTGTCAATAATCGCTTTGAATACCACGTACATATTACCTTTACTAGGGACTGAGAATAGGCTGGGAGTTGCTCAGTCGTTAAAGGCTAGGCTCGCAACCAAAAATACAAGAACTGAGAATAATAACAATTTGCTTCTAATTTTTATCTTTATCTATAGAGTTTTTATTTCTCTGATGTTTGAATATTCGTTCAGATTGAGTAGAAAAGTCTGGAAGCAAACTAGAAGGATTAAAGTTACCATTGCACATTTAAATAAATTATGAACAAGAAGTTACCTGGTATCCTAAAAGCTCAACATGTTTTTATAAATATTGACATTTTAGCCTCTGTCTTCCCCATAAAACTAGCAGACTGTGTTGGTTATTGCACTTTTCATGTGGGACCTGATCATAAAATTGTGATTGTTCATAAGCGTAACATCTGGCTTAGGAAAAACTGTTCACCAGCCTGAACAGGCTGCTCGAGACAGTAATTAGGAAAGCTGCTGTCACTCAAGAAGCAGAAACCGTTATGGAGACCTTGTGGGTCGTGTGCCATTGCCAGATAAAATATAAACCAGCTTTTTCATACCATGTTTCTACTCCCTTCTAGAATGTAGAAGCCGTCAGTCCTCTGCTGTTTGCCACTCCGCTAAGCCCATTTCTTCAGTGTCGTCAACTGTGACTCCAGAGACTGGGACAGCTAACGGATACAAAGCAGGCTTCACTCAGACAGGTACGAAATGGCTTCGTGTTAGTGCAAGGACAGATGTGTGCTTAAGGAAGCATCTTTAAGTTTGCTTAGCTGGTTTGCGTGAGATGTTTTCAAATGAAATACTATCTGGGTGTTGCTAAGATACCATTTGAGTTAACGTTATAATTAGAACCCAGCATTGAGGCAATAAGTCTCTGCAGGACTGGGACTGACGTCTCAAAAGTCCACCATATTAGACAGTGAATGGAGAAAAGAACTGACAGTTGGCAGAAAACTTAGCTTTGGCATAAAATGCAATGCCAGGGACTCAGACAGCAGAGAGTGTGTGGAAATCAGACACCACAGCAAGGGGTAGCACACACTGGAACACACTCATGAAGACTAGAATTCTAGGATGGACCTCCTTTTAAACCCTGAGATGACTCAAATACCTCCCCTCAGAGTTCAGGGAGCCCCAAAGAAGAGGCAAAAGAGTTTAAGAGCCAGAGAAGATGGAGGACACCAGGAAAACAAAGCCCTCTAAAGAAAAAAAAAACTGCAGAAATAAAAAACCCTAAGATGACTCAAGAGAGCAGCACACTACCTGGATATGAGACAAGGCTTCTGGGTGGATTGTGTATCACAATGGATGAATCCAGGATGGAGTTTTCAAGGCTAGGAGCTCAGTTGCAAATAACTAGATAAAAATCTTAGTACTTGAAACCTTGAGTACATTATCAAAGCTGGGCCAGCAGAATGGTTGACTGATCTGATGGGGGAACAAACTGGCTACCAGGCCAGCTTTCTGAATCTCGTCATTATGCAGCCCTGGCAAGAACCTGGGATGAGGTTAGATTCAGGTAGAGCCCAGTGGCCCGTGCTGCAGGTTGATGAGTTGTTGATTATTTGAGAAAAATCACTCAGAATTGACATGGTTAGGTCTTAGGCAAGAAGTATATTAAGGAGAATATGAATTCTTTTTGTCAGTTTCCCTTGTTTGCAGCATTTTATCAACTGATATGTAAACTTCATGTGTGTTTTACCCATGTCTGCTCTACCGCAGGTTAAAAAACAAAAACAGAACAAGGAGTCTCCATTAGCTATGTACCTTGCTGCTTTCAAAATTTATACAAACTTTTCATGAGCTACTAAGCTGTACTTTTTACAAGATGGAAGTATTAGAATATGTCAACAGCAGTGCAAGTATGAGACAAGTTGCAGCAGAATGTATCTTGCCCTATGCTCATATTCAGCAAAGTCTGCCTGATCCTGAATAAAGATGTCTAACTTTCAAGTTGTCCAAGATACTGAGATAGAGCCCATTACCTAAGACGGCAGAGTGTTTCTTTCTAAAATAAACGAAATAGCATTCTGTTACTAGCAGTTCAGGAAAAGGAAAAAGTTGGTGTCTTGTTCTAGGCACTGAAAGGCCAACCTTCGTTGCGTCAGCAATGTGCCTACATGGCTGTCCTAGAATATTATTTTAGTGATTTGATGGGTTTATGGTGTGTTATCTGTCCTTAGACCTTGGAGATAATAAAATATTAAGACTATAGTGTTAAAATTGACATTTACTTCATTCCAATAAATCCATATCAAGTAGTTCCAAGAACCTTATCAAATGTTATGAGGCAGAGTTCCAATACCTGACTAATAACTCCCATGATTTAAAACCACTAACAGAAGGGATTAAGAAACAATAAACCATGCTATCTTTACTACAAGGTAAGCTAGATGTATAAATAACAAGTTGTCCCCGAAAATAATGAAAAATATTAAAACGTCATAAGCACTAATATAATCTTAATCATACCATTTATTTTGAAAACATATTTTTGTTATGAAAGAAGATATCTGTCTTTTGCAAAGATTCAGGCTTTAGCAAAGGATCCCCCAGTGCCATGGGAAGACGTAAGCAAGCAAGGGAGAGAAGGTCGCTGACTGACTCAGAGTAAGCACGTGACCAAATGTTGTTTCGGTATTCCCGTGTGGGGGTGTGAGAGGTAATTTGACCATGAAGTTGTTAGCAGATTTAGAGACAATCAGATAGTTTACTAGAAGAAAATGCTTTTCTATAAGGTGTCATAGAAAAGATTTTCATACGGTCCATTTATGTGTGTAGATGTACCAACTGTTACTCCTTCTGACACAGACTGAATGGGATAGGCTGTAAGAACTTCCTGTTAGCATGATTGTATCATGGCAAACATTAGGTATAGACTAAGACTCACCTCCCTAATAACTGGACTGCTGTCAGTCAAGGTTTCTTAGCCTGAAATGTGAGTTGTCAGGGTGTAATATTGGAGGAAGGGATCAATTTACCACCTATGTCTTGATTTCTACCTGCAAAGCTTTGGCTGTTCTGGCTTGCTGCTGCTCATCCCCTGCATATTTTCATGCAACATTTTTGTGTCACTGACTATTTGGATGCTAGTCACCAATCCTAGTAGATTATTTTGCCATTGAAAGAGGCTATGTCTTTGGTTCCCTACATTTATATACACATGTCCCCCTAGCCGCCCATACAAACGTTATAATCAAGACAAGAATTCAAGAACAGACAAAGAGGCATTTTCTAACCTAAAGTCTTGAAATTCCCATGCTTCTAAAAACTTAGTGGCTATAGCTCCTGCAGTTCTGTCAAGGAGACATTTGAGTTAATTTTTTGTGTATGGTATGAGGTAAAATTCTAAGCTGATCTTTTTATATTTGGCTTCCCAGTTGCTCCAGACTTTTATTTAAGGGAGGAAGGGTTTGTTTTGGCTCATGGTTTCAAGGGGCTTTATCTGCGATTGATTGGCCCCGTATGGCTAGAAAGACAATCACAGCAGCAGGAATGTGTGGACAAAGAGAGCTGTTTATTGTGTGACCAACCAGGAAACAGAGAGTATGGCCTACTTCCCTTACCAAGTCTCTCTTCCAAAGTTCCCATGCCTCCCTCCAACAGTGTCACCAACTTGGGAAGCCCAAGCCATGAACCTATGGGGGACATTTCAAATTCAAGTCCTGCCACTGGCCTCTCCCCCAGAATGGTTCATGGCCATCTCTTAATATAAAATACATTTAGTGCAGTTCAAAAGTCCCCATAAGTGTAACAGTTCTAAAGTTGTTCAGAAGTATGTGTAAGTCTAAAGTCCCTACTGTAATTCAAGCTAATCGGCCATGTGCCCCTCTAAAATCAAAATAAAATTTCATGCCCTTAAATATTCAGTGATACAGAGAGAATATTCCTCTGGGCATAGAAAGAAGAAAAGTGGCCAACGAGAGGGTGAAACACAGTAGGGCAAACGCCAAACCCTGCAGTTCCATGTCTGGCATGCAATGCTGTCATTAAGCTCCAGAAGATCTGTGTGGCCCTGCCTTGCCGTTTGCGTGCCATATAGCTTTTCTCACAGACTGGGTCCACTTGTTGCTTTCAGCTTTCCTAAGCAGACATTCTGTGTGTTTGGCATTTCTAACATCCTGGTGTGACTAGGGATTTTTACCCTAATAGCTTTCTATATCATCATCTCAGAGGCTTCCTACAGGGAATCCAACTCTGCTACCCATTACCTAGCCTTTCTATGGACTCTTAGTAGAATTACTATGACCCCAGTAACCCTTGCATTCTTTATGCATAAAAAGCAACACTATATGGATGACAACATTTCCACTAGCTTAGGTAAGTAGCAGCTAACTGGATCCCTTGAAGCATGGTAACAGTGGCCTCTGGGTACCCAGGCAACAGAACCCAGGACAACACTGCCCTGGGAAGCCCTTTGGGGGCAGGGCATCCCAGAAGAAATTTCTTCCCAAAAGAGTCTTTCAAATGAGTTTATAATTATATACTTTGGAGCCTGGCTGACTCCTGAGACAAGCTTAAAGCACCTTCCTTGTTGCTGTAGTATTAGATGCTTGGCTCCTCTTTAATGGCACTAATCTCTTTTTAAAACACATACACAAATACACATTCATTCATATAGACACACATGTACACATACAAACAGACACAGACACAGCATACACATACATACTCATACATACATACTCACACACAAACACACACACACATACACATAATCTCTCTCACACACACATACACACAATATCTCTCTCACTCACACACACACACACACACACACACATACACACACACTTTTCTTATTTATAACTTTCAGTTTGTTCCTTTTCTGTCCAGACTACATGCTTTTCAAATACTCTTCTCTGCTTTTGATTTTTAATTCTCATTGTAAGTCTAACTAAAAGCTACCAGCAATAACCATGCCATAGTCTGAATGCTAATCCTTCTTGAGATTTCCTCGCCAAATTGAGAAGTCTGTTACCACCTTTAAGCTAAGCCTTTCAGTTCTGAAACATACAGAAAATGTAGACAAATTCTTTGACAGAATGTAGCACCTGTGGCCTTCAGTAATTTCCAGTAGAAACCTTCTTTCCATTTTAAGCTTTATTAGCACAGACTCTGCTGCCCACGTTTCAGCCGCTGGCCCTCTGAGCTCCCATGCCAGTTGCCCCTGGACTCTGCTTATAGCATTCCAGGGCCTCTTAGCCCAAATCTCCAAATTTCTCATTTTGATTTTCTACTTATTCCAATACCTGAAAGATTTATAAGATACAGGTGATTTGAATTTCATTTTTATTTAAATTTTATATTGGCCCTGGGAGAGCATTATTTTATTGGTGTGTACCATTTCTTCCAAATAAAGAAGATGTATTTATCCATCATTAGGCCAAAGGTGAGCTACCTAAGGCCTGCCAAGACCAGTAATACAATAGCTTTAAAGGAAATTTTCAGAAGGGCTATTGTATGATTTTGTGGGATGGCTCAATTTTTTGTCTCTATAGGCCATTTCTCCATGAAAAACACTGTGATTATGTTATATGATGAATACGTTAAAATCATACATCAAATCACTTTCTTGGCCTGGAATGTAGCTCAGTCATATAGCACTTGCCTTCCATGTGTTGGGACCTGGATTTGATCCCCAGCCCCACAATAAACTGAAGCATTTCCTTCAGTTTCCCCCTTCTGATTTTAAATAAGT